CCCAAGTAAGACTCTGTGTCTCGTAGGTGGGGCAGTGGCCCAGCAGGTCCCAGTGCAGGCCATTCAGGTGCACCAGGCCCCACAGCAAGCGTCTCCCTCTCGCGACAGCAGCACAGACCTCACGCAGACCTCCTCCAGCGGGACAGGTATAACTTGCAGCCCTGTTGCCCTTCCTGCTCTGTCTCCCCCCACGAGGCCTAGCAGCAGATACCCAACTATATCCTTCCTGTATGTAAAGTAAGAGAGTTTCTTAAAGTAGAAACTGAGGCATTTGGCATAATTTTAAGGAAAAGTCAGGTGAGAATGCTGGATTTTAAATCCTGCCCTGCAGTGTGCTTGTGGATTCCAGGAGGAAATTAAGGATCACTGAAGTTACCTCTTTCTTATTTAGATAAGGAGAAGTTATTTGCCCTAAAACCCAGCATTTAATCAGTTATCAGGAAGGACTCGTGGGGCAGTTATCTCCTTGTGGGGAAGGTATTATAGAATTTGAGTAGCCATAATTTCCCTCAGGTATCTTTGGTCATTTCACCCCTCAGGTATCTTTGGTCATTTCAGAAACAATAGGATTATCTCAAAATTACTTTTAAGTTATCTTTATTTCAACCTTATTACACAAAATGTGGTCTAGGGACTGGGAGCACCAGCATTACCTGGGAGCTTGTGGAAATAAAGAATCTTAAGCATCACCTCAAACCTATTGAATCAGAATCTGCATTTTAACAAGATTCCTATGTAACTGTATGTTTGTTAACATTTGAGAAGTGCTTGTTTAGAATATGAATTTGTGAGGTTTGAGTTTAGAAAGAAGGAGGAGGCATAAGAACAAATTTTTTTAAAAAGGGATGATGGAGCACTCTAAAGGGAGAGAATCTGAGTTTCCTGGGAGTGCGGTCAGTCCTTGAAATCTTAGGGCTTGAGAGCAAAAAGTTCAGTAGATGGACAATCCAATAGTACAAATGATGGGATATAGTCAAAGGTTGGTGCTTTTGTGTTCCGGGAAAAAAATAGGCTTTTCTTAGCTGGTGACTAAGAGAGCAGAGTTATAGTCTCATCAAGCTTCTGACCCCCTGGGACATTGCGAAAAGATCTTGGAGACTGGAATCCTGGGATAGGAAGGGAGATATCAGAGAGACTAGTGCCTGACATGTGTCTGTGTTTTCCAGTGACGTTGCCCGCCACCATCATGACATCGTCCGTGCCCACAACTGTGGGAGGCCACATGATGTACCCTAGCCCCCATGCGGTGATGTATGCCCCCACCTCGGGCCTAGCTGATGGCAGCCTCACCGTGCTCAATGCCTTCTCCCAGGCGCCATCCACCATGCAGGTGTCACACAGCCAGGTCCAGGAGCAAGGTGAGGGGAAGGGCAGGGTTGAAGGAAGGAGGACCATTTCCTCCCTTATACACTCAAATGTTCCAACTCCCTCACTGAGGTATACATGCTCATACACACACACTTGGATGCCAATACATATTTCCTGTGCACGCGCGCGCGCACACACACGCACACACACACACAGACTTGGATATTCTCACATACACTAGGACACCTGTATTTGTCTACTTGGACCCTCATACCCACAAGTACTCTCAAAACATATTGGGCACTGAGACTCACCAGTCACTTGTGCATTGCCACTTCTCCAATAGCTGGAAGATCCTCTTCAGCAAACATGAGTGTGTATCTCTTATGGTTTCCAATGCAGGTGGCGTCCCCCAGGTGTTCCTGACAGCGCCATCTGGGACAGTGCAGATCCCTGTTTCTGCAGTCCAGCTTCACCAGGTAGGTGGGGGCACCTCTCACATCATCCCACATAGCTACTGCATCTTCAGCTGGGTGGACATTATTACCAATTGGTCAGAGCCCACATCCTAATTTGTTTTCTGCTCAGGCTTTTGGTGGGCAGGCAGGCAGGCCAGCAGCAGACTGGTTGATCCTCCTGCCCGTTTCCTCATATACCCCCTTCCCTCCAGATGGCTGTGATAGGGCAGCAGGCCGGGAGCAGCAGCAACCTCACCGAGCTACAGGTGGTGAACCTGGATGCCGCCCACAGCACCAAGAGTGAATGATCCGCCCGCTGCCCTGGACAGATGGCCCAAGGGACGGCACCACTTATTTATTGTTGCCTTTTCACGTTTTCTTTACACACTTGTTGACGGGCCGCAGGAGGGAGGCAGGGAGGAGGAGCGGGCAGCCACGGGACTATGCCCTCTCACTCCAGCCAAAGAAATGGGCCTGCCTGCCCTCCACCTGTCCTCCCTCACTTTTCCTTCCTTCCTGCTCCACCTCCTATTTCTGTTGACGGTGGGGCTGTCCTCCCTCCTCAGACTCCCCTCAACAGCTTGGCTGGATGTTTGCCATGAGTATTAGCTTACCCAATGGGACCGTGTCCCACCTTCCCACTCACAGGCCTTCTGTGGGACTGGACACTGTGTCCTCCCCTGAGGAAGCGGTTGGGACTCTCTCTCCAGCCTCCTTGCTGACTCCAAGTCAGCACTGTGTCTGCCACAGGCTGGGGGTCTAAGGAGCCCTGTACCTTCCCCTCAGGGAGCCAGCTGAGGAGATGGGAGCTTCTTCCCTCATGCTGCCGCCCTCTGCCCCTTCAGCTCCTGAGTAGCTGGGCCTGTGCACTGGGCAGGTTCCTGGGGCCACCTGCCCTGCCTTGCCGTTCCCCATGGACCTCCAGGGGCTCTTGGGTTGGAGGGAACCACCAGCGTTCCCTTCTTCCCTTTGTCTTCCCCCCCCACTCCTCCCAGCTGCTTTACTTAAAGTTGATTTTGAACTTTTTATTTGAGGAGACGAAGTGAAAACAAATCTATAAATATATATTTTTAAAATATTTAACTTTTTTTTATGGCGTTTTTCTCATCCCCCTCCCTACCCGAACTCCCCTTCCCTGGGGAGCCCAAGGGCTCCCCAGAACTGGTTGGATCCCTGGGGACAGAGTCACCCCATGAGCTTGGGGTCTGCCAGTGTGTGGGGGAGATCTGGGATCACCCGGTCCTGAGTTGTTTCCAGGAGAAAGCCGGGGGAGGGGCCCTCAGGCCATGCCCTGAAGGGGTGGGGAGGATGACCCACAGCTCTGGGCCTCTTTTTGCCCTTTAGGCTGTTGCTCCGGAGAGGGAAGAGGGAGACCAAATGTGGGGGTGGGGTGGGAGGGTGTCAGGTAGAGGCAACTGAGTTCATTTGTGCCACACACATGGGCATTGCAGCCTTGTGCTCCCCCAGGCCCGCAGCTGCCTGGGGCCCAAGTTGCAGTGAGCAGGGTGGGATCTGGGAGGGGGGAGAGGCAGGAATGGGGGGTCAGAAGTGGGAGCAGCTTTTGGGCTGAGTATAGAGATGGGGAGCCAGAAATGGGCAGCTCTCCCAGGGAGTGAGCAGCTACTGTAACTTTTTTAAATTAAGACAAAAAGCCTTGAAGAAAATGACTTTATTTTTCTAAGTGTAACCTCAGTATTTATGTAATTTGTACAGGGGCCATGCCCCACCCCACCCCTGCTCCCTTAGGGTAGAACTTGAGGGTGGGCCACCATGGGGGAAGATTTTTACCCTGTGTTAGAGCCTACTTTCACCACCTGTATCCAGAAAGGGAGCTTTTTCAGAAACGGGGCAGCAATTGGGGTGGAGTTTTATTAACCCCTTAACGACTGCCTTCAGTAGGAACAAGCCTGCTTCTGTGATTAGGTGAAGGGGTGGGGTAAGATTCTACGCACAGCCTAGTTATCAAGGGGATGATTTGCCGACACAATTAAGAACCCCCTAACCTCTAACCCCCATTGCTGTCTTGCCCCAAATTGGAGTACCAAGATGGAAGTTGCCTTCCTAGGCTTTCTCCTGGAGATAGCTGGGGCTTATGGGTGGTTTTTAAGGCTGGGGCATGGCAAATCAGGGGCCAGAGTTGGGGAGCTTGGGACTCAGGTCTGTAACTGCCCAACCCCTTTTCTCTGCTCTTGTTTCACTCCACCACCACTCACTCACTCCCCAATCCCCCACCCGGAGGAGGAGATGTTGATGAATTTCTCTCCTTCCCACAAAAGACAGACCCAATGAGTGAATCAGGCAAAGTGCTTACAATGTGTGTTGTGTGAGTGTGGCCTTGGGAGAACATGCGCATCAGGGATGAGGTGGCATTTATATGTGGAGCAACCCTTGGTGTTTCCCTTACTTGATGGCTCTGGGGTATGTGTGTGTGCCTGAGTGAATGTGTGTGTGTGAATGTGGGGTGTGTGTGTCAGTGGTTTCTACTTCCCCTGGGATACTGACCCAGGAATAGTGGACATGGTCACAGTCCTATGTACAGAGCTTTCTTTTGTATTAAAAAAAATTACTCTTTCAATAAATGTATCATTTTTGTGCACAGACTGTGGGGTCTTTGGCTCTGTTTTTCAACATAGGGAGGGAGGTGCAAACATTAAACAAATCCCAAAGCTGTTCCAAGAAACAAATCTGGCTGCTTGATGAAAACGGAATGTTAAGGGGTGCTTTGTGCTGTTGGATTCTATATGATTTAAAGAACATGGTGGTGGGGGGGTTGTCTCCCTATGCATAGTTTTGCTAGGTGCTTTAGGTCAGCAGAATCAAGCAATTTTAGTTAACAGGGTATGTGGGATCAATTACCCAAAGTATTGCTAATAAGTTTGGGGAAATCATGGCACGTGACCTACTGAAAAGCCCTAGGGTGGGAGATTACTATGTTTCAGAATGGATGAAGTAACCGGAGATAATATGAGGAAGGCAGACCTAGTAAAGAGAAGGGAAGTTTTCCAGTTGACTACATGGAAAGGGCAGCCCACTGCCGCTACGAAGGAGCAACCAGTGATGCTGCACTCCTCTAGCGCGCCGCCTTCACACGCCCCTCTCCACGAGCACGGGGTCCGCGAGTAGTACGCATGCTCCACGCGCGCCGTTCCGCCACGCTCGGCCTGGACCGCTATGGGACCCGTAGATCSTAGAAGCTAGGCGGTGCGTGCACTCGCTAAGTGACCCGGAAGGGAGCTGCTGAGGAGGCGGGACCTGGACGGCGGGTCCCAGCTAGGACCGGTCCGGACGGTGGGAGGTGAGAGGAGGTTCTGCGCCCGACCCAGTCCCTTCCCCAATCTCTGGTCCTTTACCCATTCTCTGTGAGGCTGACGAAGGAACCAGGACTTACTCTGAGATTTCGCTCGGTCCTGTCAACCTTCTCTGACCGCGCCCCCCACCATGCTTACCCGGCATCCCTACCCAGTCCCTCAATCCCATTCCCTTGCTGTACAGGTCTCCACCCCACCGCCCCACTGTCCTGCAAACGTGAGACTGGCCTTGCTCCCAGCTGGGCTCAGTCCCCGCAGCCAAACCTCAYCCCTACATCTGTTTATTGCTCCTGGTCTAGGCCCACGCTGCGCCTTCTCAATTTTCCTCCCACACCCGCCGGGCCTATTCATTTTATTCCTCCTGGCGCTAATCAGTTGCCGATTGCTGGGAGGCTGGTTACCTCCCGGCCTCTCCCTATCCCCCACACCCCCCTCCCCGCGCGCGCGCTCAGTGAATCCCTACCCCCATTGAAGTCCACATCTTTTATGTCTCTTTCTCTTCTGTCCTTTCTTCTTGTCTTTTATTCTGTACCCTGACACAATCCCCGTCCGGTTCATCTTACATTCTTATGCTTACTATTCCCTGTTGCCTCTATACTGCTTATCACACATGGCTTTTCCTGATCATACTACTACCTTTTATAATCTTCTGACTTATAATCTTCTGACTTAATTTATCTGATAACTGCCTGTACCTTATAAGAATAATAGTAGATTAATATTAGACCATGTTTACTGAGCACTCATGTGCTAGATGTTTTTGTTTCTTTGTATGGTTCTAGAATTGAACCCCGGGCCTGGTACATGCTAGGCAAGCACTCTACCACTGAGCTACATCCCCAGCCTTAAATGCTACTCTAAATGTATTACATACATAATCTTATTAAGTTTTTATTTCATGAGATAGGTGCGAATATTACCACCATATAGAGGAGGAAATAGACTCAGATTTTAAGCAACTTGTTCGAAACTATGCAGTAGTGAGTTGGAATTAAGAATCATATATTTATCCGACTCTGAAATCTGTACTTTATTGTTTATCTCATGACCTCATTCACTACCCTGTACGCTGTGAGTACTACCTTCCTGTTAATCTAGCTGACCTAAACCCTTACTATACATACAGCATAAGTACAGGGTGGGACGTGGTCTTTTTCTCACATAATTTTATGTGGTTCCTAGGCTGCTCCTCCTCTCACAAAACTCATATATTTCTCCCATCCAGTAATCTGCCCTACATCCCTGCCTCCTTTCCTTTGCTTCTTTGTATCTGTTGTGGCCCACCCCTCTATATCCACATTCTAGTTTTACCCTGTCCTGTCCCTCCCCCAGCCTTCTGGCCTCATTATCTCATATGCTGCTGTCCTTCCTGTTCATTCATGTTAGCCTTTTAAGTCTTGATCTATATCCTTCAGCCATTCTACTATTTACTGCCCAGCCTGTCCTGCTTAACTGTTAACTCTGTATTGTTACCTTGCCTGTTTCTCTTATTCTCTTTGTAACCATCTCCATCTCTTGAAGCCCTTTATTTCATCCCCTTGATATTTTCACTCTTTCTTCTCTTATAAATATCAAAGTTAAGTTCAGCTGTTCATTCCATCCTATTCTTTATCTTTTATGTTTGGCCTCTGAATTCTACCATGTAGCTTGCCAGTCACCACACACCCTCTCTTGTTCCAAAAGTTATCCCACTATGTATAGTCTTTCTTTTCCCATACTGTGTGATCTTTCTCTTTCTGTATCTCAGGAGATCAGGATGATAGGGGAACGGCGTGCTAGGGACCTTATGGTGCCCTTGGGGCCCCAGCTGCAGGCATATCCTGAAGAACTTATTCGACAGCGGCCTGGACATGATGGACGCCCTGAATACCTGGTCCGATGGAGTGTCCTGAAGTGTGGGGAAGTGAGCAAAGTGAGTGTAGACGAAGGCAAAGCAGAGCACATTCTCATGTGGCTGTCAGCCCCAGAGGTCTATGCTAACTGCCCCATGCTATTAGGTGAGCGAGCACTATCTAAGGGACCTCAGCATGAACCATCTGGGGGTTCAGGAAGCTTTCCCAGAGACCCAGGAGGCCTGGACGATGTGGCAATCGGAGAGATGGAGGCTGATGTGCGGGCGCTGGTACGCAGGGCTGCCAGGCAGCTGGCAGAAGGTGGGACCTCAAGCCTTACAGCTGCTGTGCTCCACACTATCCATGTGCTCAGTGCATATGCCAGCATCGGGCCTCTCACCGGGGTCTTCAGGGAAACAGGAGCCCTGGACCTGCTCATGCATATGCTGTGCAATCCTGAGCCTCAAATTCGTCGGAGTGCGGGCAAGATGCTGCAGGCTCTGGCAGCCCACGATGCTGGTAAGGGAAAGAAGGAAAACATTGGAGAAAATGGGGCTGCAAGGAATAAAAACAGAGATTTCCCAACTCTATTAGAACACCTAGTATTGGTGAATATCAATTCACTGTAAAGGAGGCATATAAATTATTAGGTTATTACAAGTACATAAACAGGACAAATTGTTGGCACCTGGTAGGTATGTCCATTCTTAGTGCCGTGTAAGAAAAGAGAATGGGTTAGACTTGTAATTTTTAAGTAGGTTGAGATTTATTGGTTGTGAAATCAATTTATTGGGTTTTAACATTTTTACAAAACAATATCAATATGCAGTATAAGGTTTTTGTAGCATGTTGTATGTTCCAGTTTTATGTGTATAGGTTTGTTTCAGGTCACCACATAAAATATATTTTTTTGCTGTGGGTCTTAGTCACAAGGAAGTTTGAAAATACCTAGGGAAGGAGATAGAAAGCCTAGGAAAGGCAGGGAGAAAGTATTGGGGATTGAGGAGAAGATACGGATTGGGTGTGGATTACAGGGAGTCGGGCTCACGTCCTTCTGTCACTGAGCCAGCAAGATGGCATCGAGCAGCACATGGATTTTGACAGCCGATATACTTTGCTGGAGCTGTTTGCAGAGACCACGTCCTCTGAAGAGCACTGCATGGCCTTTGAAGGCATTCATCTGCCTCAGGTACTCCACAGCTATGGGGGAATACTCTGTTCAAGGCATTATTTCTGAAGCTATAGTTCAGGACTATGTCAGCACCAAAGCCACCTGAACAGGTAGTTAAAATGAAGGTTCATGTCCACTTTCCCAACCTCTCCCATTGAGAAATTTAAAAATTAGAACCCAAGTGTTTTAAGATCTTCCTGTATGTTTCTTACCCAAATCAAAGAGCTATAGACCTAGGAATGAGACCTTTGCAATTTTCTGTGGGGGAGGATATTAAGGGGCAAGGGAAGAGGCCAAAGCCAGGAAGAGATGAACCTATAACTGGGATTGTGTCCTAGATCCCAGGAAAGCTGCTCTTCTCCTTGGTGAAGCGCTACCTATGTGTCACTTCCTTGCTGGATCAACTAAATAACAGTCCAGAGCCAGGAGCTGGAGACCAAAGTTCCCCAAGTACCATGAGGGAGAAAAACCGGGGACAAAGGGAGCTGGAGTTCAGCATGGCTGTGGGCAACCTCATTTCAGAACTGGTGCGGAGCATGGGCTGGGCCCGGAACATCAGTGAACAGGGCACGTTACCACCCCGGCCACTTCGGTCCATCTTTCAACCCTGCATTTCAGGACCACCCCTTTTACTCCCCACCATTGTCACCATCCCCAGAAGGCAAGGGTGGGCCTTTCGCCAGCGCTCCGAATTCTCTAGCCGTAGTGGCTATGGCGAGTACGTGCAGCAGACACTACAGCCAGGGATGCGAGTGCGGATGCTGGATGATTACGAGGAGATCAGTGCTGGGGATGAAGGCGAGTTCCGGCAGAGCAACAGTGGTGTGCCCCCTGTGCAGGTAAGGGACGCACAGTGATGGGACACTGTTGGGGGTCTCTTCTGGGTGGTGCATAAACTGGAACTTCCAGGTAGGAGGCTCTGGTATGCCACCCAAGGTGAAAACCTCCAGGGGAATTGGAATGGTAAGAGAGCATCAGCAAATGAACAGGTGTTATTTGAAGAGCTGAGAAAACTTGGTGTGAGTGGGTATGAGGTCATGGACAGGCTCATAACCAGGAAGCAGAAGTGATACATGGAGATAATATCATCACTTCCACTAGTGGAAGAAGCTAGGAAAGAATGTGAGAACAGAGACCTTCAAGGTTAGGAAGAGAGGCAGGGTCCACTCCTGATAGGAGAAGAAATCCTTTAGCTATATGGAGGTTCTTCCAAGCCTAGACAGGTGTGTATCTGAGGGTATGATCCAGATCTGGACTTGGGCATGTTCTCTCAAGCTTTTACAGCTCAGAGCTCAGAGCACTGAGCCCTTTCTGTTCTTCCTTCATGCCAGGTCTTCTGGCAGTCGACAGGCCGCACCTATTGGGTGCACTGGCACATGCTGGAGATATTGGGCGCTGAGGAAGCTACTGGGGATTCAGCTTCGGCAGCTGTGGAGAAGGGGGCAGGGGCTACTGTATTGGGCACAGGTGAGCCTAAGAGAGGATGTGGGTAGCCTGTCTCTGAACAGAGGAGTTGTGTCTCATATGAAACCACTTCTGACTGGGAGCTTCCCCAGGTTCAGAAATCAGCTATTACTTCTACTGGGTGCTGATAGCCCTATCTTTGTGTTCTTAGCATTTCCTTCCTGGGATTGGAAGCCTGTGGATGGCCTCTACTGTTTGCCGTACCTCCAGATTGAGCCTCAGAAGAATGAGGAATTGGGATACCTGACCCAAGCTGAGTGGTGGGAATTGCTTTTCTTCATCAAAAAGTTGGACATATGTGAACAGCAGCCAATTTTCCAGAATCTTCAGGAGAAACTAGATGAGGTATTTTAGGCCTGAGATATGGTGGGAGATGGACATTAAGGGATTAAGAGTAGTAGTAATGGGATTAGAGGTAGAAACTAAAGGAAGTTTTATCTATGGATACCACTTAAGGGGAGGCTGAAGTTAGAGAGTATAGGGGTCTTATTGGTTGGCGGAGACATGTGTTGTGAGACATGTGCTTTCTAGTATGTAGAAAGGATGAAGTTATGGTGGGAGTGATCTATTTCTATCCCCAGGACCTTTGTGTCTGCTTGTCCCTGAAATTTATATTCTTTGTATTGACAGACCCTGGGTGAAAAGGCTCTAGGTGAGATCTCTGTGCCTGTGGAGATGGCTGAGGGTCTTCTGCAGGTTCTCAGTAATCGGTTTGAGGGCAGCACCCTCCGTGACTTGCTCAACTCCCAAATCTATACCAAATATGGGCTGCTACCTGATGAACTAAGCAGCTTATCTTCACGAAGTCACTGCTGTTCCTCAGATCCAGAAGAGGAACCCAAGTCAGAGGCCAGCTTCTCAGAGGAAGAGACTGAATCCCCTAAAGCAAAGACTGAGCCCCCTAAGGCAGAGTCACAGCCTGCCAAGGCAAAGACTGAGCCTCCCATGGCCCAGAGTGATTCACAGCTGTTTAACCAGCTTCTGGTGACTGAGGGGATGGTTCTGTCCCCTGAGATGAAGGAGGCAGCCAGTGGTGAGTCAGGTTCTGGGAGGGGAGGGCAAAGACATTGGAACAAATCCTGTCATGGGCCCAGAGGTGGGTTGTGAGGGTGGAGGAAAAGCTATGGAGTGAGGTCCTTTTTTGCAGGGAAAATGGCTTGCATCCATCATCTTCCCTTTGAACTTGATTGTACCTGGCCAACTACTACTCCTTTTCTTCAGTATCTCTGGAAATGGAGAGTCCATTTCTCAGGGTATTTCCATCTTCTGTATTTGATTAGATCTTTCACACAGAATTGGAAATATTCCAAATGCAAGCTATAGTAACGAATAACATATTTAAATGTCAATAGGATAACTGGGCTGACCTTTAAAGACTTCCAATGTGGAGGAGGTGCCACAGTTCTTTTAGCCACTTGCCTTTCTCCCACCAATTTCAGAAATGGCTAGAGCCTTGCGGGGTCCTGGTCCGCGCAGCTCCCTGGATCAGCATGTGGCAGCAGTCGTGGCCACTGTGCAGATATCCAGCTTGGACACAAACCTGCAGCTTTCAGGGCTCTCTGCCCTCTCTCAGGCTTTGGAAGAGGTCACAGAGCGGGACCACCCTCTGGTCCGTCCTGACAGATCATTGAGGTTAGCATGTTACAGAGGGAAGAGGTCTGGGTTGAACCTGTGGGCAGTGAGGCTGATGGTGGAGGGAAGAAGTAATCAAGAATTAGAAAGGCTGAGGGTGAAGAAAGGGTCATCCTGAGGAGCAGCTGAGCAGGAGGGGGGTTAAAATAATCTCAGAGCATTTCTGTGCTAGGATTTTATATGGATTATTTTATTAACTCTGCCTAACAGCAAGGAAGCATTGATAGTATTATTATTCTATCATTATTTATTAATATCAGTATTATTGTTTGGGTGAGAAAGTAAGCTTAATAGAATTTAAATAACTTTAGCTCAAGAGTTCTGTAGGTAGCAGAGCCAGGATTCAAACCTAGGTCCTTTGGCTGTAGAGCATGAGATTGTTTTTTTTTCTTTCTTTCTTTTTAAAAAATAGTTTTCTAGTTGTTGATGGATCTTTATTTTARTCATTTATTTATATGCAGTGCTGAGAATAGAACCCAGTGTCTCACACATGGGAGGCAAGCACTCTACCACTGAGCCCCAGCCCAAGATTTTTTTTCTTTAAAAAATGTTTTTTCTTGGAGCTGGGGTTGTGGCTCAGTAGTAGAGCACTTGCCTGGCATGTGTGAGGCACTGGGTTTGATTCTCAACATCGCATATAAATAAATGAAAAAAGTAAAGGCCCATTTAAAAAAAATAAAGGAATCTCTTAAAAAATGTTTTTCTTTCTTCTATCTCCGCTTTTTTTTTTTTTTCATTTTGAAAGTTTTTTTCTGCTTCTTTTTTCTGGGGAGGGGCAGGTACTGGGGATTGAACTCAGGGGCAGTGGACCACTGAGCTACATCCCTAGCCTTATTTTGTATTTTATTAGAGACAGTATCTCACTGAGTTGCTTAGTGCCTTGCTTTTGCTGAGGCTGGCTTTGAACTCATGATCCTCCTGCCTCTACCTCCCAAACTAGTGG